TTTAGAATAGTTAACATTGTTTTAAATGACGATTGTTAACATTGTTCCTTTAGAATAGTTAACATTGTTTTAAATGACGATTGTTAACATTGTTCCTTTAGAATAGTTAACATTGTTTTAAATGACGAATTGTTAACATTGTTTCTTGAGAATTTGGAATGTAGGATTTTTATACCTTACGTACATACTTAGCTCATACGTTACTTACACTTATTTATTTGTATTTTTTTACAAGGAATAGTATTACCGTTTAGGTAGAGACGCGTTGTCCAGCCTTAATAAATAGAGAACAATCTCACAGAGACATTTTGAAAAGCAGTTTTTCTATGACGTCTGGGGATTTCTTCCTACTCCTTTACCTCCCAAGACCTACAGATTCGAAGTCATCACATTCACACGTTAAGTTTCTTTAAAAAGCAAACTGAACAATGCGGTTGGGCACAATGTGCTTGCACATGATCAAAAGCTAAACAAAACGTGACTACAACTTAAGTTAGTGTTAGAGTTTGTTGTTAAAACGCAAGTATCATTTTATCGCGCCAAGATATGCAGCGCTCCCTAACGGTATGAGTGAAATGAGAACAAAATACCCCTACGCATGAAGTCATTGCCCTGACTAGTGTGTGAGTGCCTTGGTCTGTTCCCTTCTTTCTTTGGACAGTGCCGAACATTATGAAGCTTATTCGTCCAGAAAGTTTCCCTTGATGTTGAAGTTTGCGATACCACTTCTTGTTTAAGTGAGAACGGGAGAAACTAAGCTACGCGCAGCTACGTCTTAACTTCGCTAACACTTGCGTTTGCTACAACGTAACGATTTTTCACACGTCTTTCCTTCGCTCTTCCCCCCCATAGGGTTTGTTTACGGAAGTAAACCGCGATGCGGTCGGAGCCAGCAGAAGTTTGTGACACGAGCGTACGGATAATAACTTCACGTCGATGACGAGTTATTTCTCAGTGAGAGCTGAAATGATCGTTACATCAAACAGGAGATTAGATTCGACAGCGATATTATCCGATCAACCATATCACGGGTTTATGGCTTACCTGGTCGACGACTGAATTAGAATATTCTGTTTAGAAAAGGTAACTCTCTGGGTTATTTTAAACTAGTATTTCCGTAAAACTGTGACTTACACAAGTGTAAAGATTATCACGGGGACCAGACTGGAGTGATGCCTTCACTTTCACTCTCCGGGAGGGAACGGTAAGTACTTACAAAACATACCGTCCACACACACACACACCTGCCGCTCGGATCATTTTACGTTGATTCAGACAGAAATTCTCGTCGATACAAAATATTAACATAAACTTTTTTTGTAGTTGTTTTGTAAACATTTTCAAGTATATTTTACTGCAACTACACCTCCAGTTTTTGTGGATAAATATTCATATTTCTGTTTGTTTTTTTCGTCGGGTATTTTCACCTTTTATTATGTCTGAAAGGAGCTCTAACCCACCATTACCTATTCAAATTACAAAACTTGGTCATAATTTTATACAAAAATGGAACACTTTAAACGTGATGAGCATAGTATATAAGATATTATTTATGTATATATAACAGAAAATTATCCTAATGACGAATTTACTGTGGTAAATAATATGGCGGAGAATAGTAATCGTCGAAACGAAATCTGTGTAGTTTAAGTTAAATCGTTGTCGTCAGGATTATAATGGCTTGATGATATCCACCACTATTTGTCTACAGTTACTTATAAAGCGCGGGAAATGGGAGGATATTACACATTAAGAAGAGGAGAGCTATTAAGTATACGTTTATAAAGCGATTTGTACTACACACGAATTATAATACATACAAATAAAACGTACTTACACATTGAACTTGAAAAACTTTATATATATATTAAGTACGTTTAAGTGTACTTTGGAAATATTGTATATAGATGTATTACTACCTCGGTTATAATTATGTATTACCTATAGGCCACTTGTAGCATATATGTATATATACATACATTTTTATAATCAAAATTATTATTAGGCTGGATAGAATAATTATATATATGTATATATCGTATTAATAGACAATTTAAACAAAATCGAATGTACAACGAATAATAGTTTGTTTCTTGGATACTTTTCCAGAAACAGATAAATATTTATATTTTAACTTCACAACCACAGCCTCCCAAGTGGTTTAACAGTAAGTCTAAAGGCTTATAACGTAAAAACCGGGTTTCGATACCCGTGGTGGGCACAGCACAGATGGCCCATTGTGTAGCTTTGCACCTAACGACAAACAAAAAGCATTACCTCACGTAATAGTGTATTAGCGTAGGATAGTGCTGACTTTCGGATCCTTCGTGTTAAAAATGGCGATTATAACTTATAGAAACTCTTGGGTGCTTCTTTAAGTAATGAACAGTAACAAACAACTACTGACATTGACGTTATTATGTGAGACAAATCACATGTTTAATAACTCAGTAAGTGGAGATAATTTAGGAAAAATATAAACCGATATTGTATTCTGATTGGCTGCTTATTTCAGCGCAAAGCCATACATTGGGTTATCTACGCTCTGTCCACTACGAGGAATCGAATACCGGATCTTAGAGTACTCTGAAGTTGCCATAAACTGATTTGTCCTCATATTTTGTGAAATATCGGAAAATCATAATACATGATGTACAAAACAAACTGAATAACGTACAACGTCAATTATATGATTAGAAATATATTAATAAATGTTATCAAATTAATGCAATTTTTTTCTGACAATGGAAGATGTCATCAAAAAAAAAAACCAAAATGCTCAAAATAAACATTAAGTTATTACTCTTATTCGGTGTGTTTTTTACAATTAATATTCATCTCTCATTAAATTATTAATTTATAAAATCATTATCATACTTTGTTGAGTAAAATTATAAAAAATATATATTTAAATATAAGTAAAATTATATATTTAATATAGAAATTATACATTTAATATAGAAATTATTTACATTTTGCTGGAAGAATTCACCTTAAACTACACATAAAGATATATATTAAAAACACGGTTTCCACTGGAAAAGATGAAAGATATTAGTTATCAACGAAATGGGGAATTTGTTTAAGTGGAAGTTAACGTTGGTTTGCGAGCATTTAGTTGGAGTTGGGGTGAAGTAAAAACGTTTACACCGTTCATATTCATGAAATATATAATTCCAAGACCCAGTGAAGGAAATGCAATACACTTGTACTCGTGAAGCTTCTTTTCGGAGATTTTCTGGTGAGTTTTCTAAATATGGCGTCTGTTGTCTAGCGTGTTGAGTGAGGCTGGTTACGTAGTTTCTTCTAACTTCGATAGTTCTGCAATAATTTTTAGGCAAGCAGATTAGAAGACCAAACCTAGTAAAAATGTGATAGCTAATGGTGCCTGGTGTCGAGGATTGAATATTTTAAACAGAAATACAAATGACACAATGAGCAAAAGACGGGTTTAATCACGATATACATATATATAGATATACACAAGCACACACACGAACATTTAACGCCTTTTCGTCACGGCCTATGTACAATATCTAAATTTCAATAATTAAATATTCTCTAAAATATACAAATTATCAATTAGCTGATTTCGTAAGGCTTCGTAAATAAAATAAAAAAAAGGAGGTGGTAAATAAAGTTGACGATTTTCATAAATCATAAACTTTTTCGAAGAATCTTCTTTTTGTAATAAAATCAGTCAGTACGTTAGATTTAATTCGATATATTTTTATCGCCAGTTGGACTCAGTAAGGACTTGATAGCGTCGTATACTGCTTATTATCGACAGTCAGCCTTAGTCTAACGTGCTGCTGTCTTTTATTATAACTTGTTGAGATATATTACGTCTTTGTTCGTATCGAACATTACGGATGGTGAAATGAAAATACTGCGGAAATTAATATTCGTATAATTGGTGAAATATCCTCGCTGTAAATATTTCATTAAAATAATAATGATGATAGCGCAAGAAAGCGCTCGCTGTTTCGCTTATAACTTCAAGATTGTTTTTCTTTCACTGTTTGCAAAATTGGATCCTTTAAAGCTGTCACCAGCCTGTCAAAATTGATGACGATACTTTGAGACTAGATGGACACAAGAGGAAGAGTTTGAGATGCTAATTTTCAAAAGGGTCAAAACGTTTGCGCGAATATTGACATCATATAAGAACATCACGAAATATATTCAATGTCGTTTTTGTATAATCACAGTATATGGCAAACGAATCACTATCACGATAAACTGACGTATGCTTAATTCAGTGATTTTTTTTAGGTTAAATTGAAACCGAAAGGAAATGAATATGCTCTTTTTTTTTTCCCTGAAGTACTGGTCTCTTGTCGCTCCTTCGAAACAGTAACAGCTGTAGCCGACCCGTTAAAATACAGAAATCTATTTTAGCGTGGTTATATCAGTACTTTCGTACGGAGGTTTGGCCTAGTGGTAAGTCTGCCGAATTGTGAATCCGAGGGTCAATGGTTCGTGTCCCGTACTTCGTGGCAGTGGTTGCATTGTAAGAATGGTTGTCAAATCTCGCAATCGGGGGCAGACAAAACGAGCTCTGTCTATCGGTTCAAAATTAGGGACGGCCAGCGAGAGTTGCTATTGTGTAACTGATATAAACATCAAATAGTTTTGGCTATTCAAACAAAATAATGCTAAAAGATCTTATATTAATCTGCTCATCAACCTCCCTTTCTCTGTGTGAACACTTTTTTTTTTCATTAGTTTGTATCTTCATAAAATCCAGTCTCGATTACCATGAGAAAAAAGACGGGAGGATAGACACGTGTTAGCCTTTGGCGTAGGTGGGCGTAATTCTCGAGCAATCACGTGGAAATATCTCATCGTTTACCATGTTATTTTTGTTCATTCATCTTGAAATTTGTTTAAGAGTGGGTGATGTTCAGAGAGTGATAAAAATTCTGAAAAAACCTTATAAAATTTAGAGTTTATGATAACGTTTAATATTATAGTTGAGTTTTTACTCAGATTGTTGACCTAATTACACATAGAAATAATACAGGCTTTATTATATCTGTATGTATCGAAATTTAACTAAGTGAAACGACTTTTTATTTTTTGCGAGCTATCAATAAAACTTATTTAATTTCTGTAGTGCGTGTTTGTGTATACGAGACATATTAACACTAGAAATAAACGACCTTATAACATCAAAATGTTGTTTTTATTTAATTAGACACTCAACTTTTCGTTTTACAGCTGCTTCTGGAGCGTTCTCAAAAACACAAACCGAAACTGACGCTACAAAGCTTCGAATGGTTTAAAATAAGAAGTTCTTTTCGAATCTATAACGTGCATTTATACGGAGTGTTTTGGACATATTACGTAGTAAAGCTTATTGTTGAAAGAAAAGTATTGTTGGAATAATTAATTGCTACCAAGGTTACAGAGTGAAATATAAAAAAATAAAATAATTAAAATTATAGGTGCCATCCTTTGTCCATATTCATCTATGGTCGTAGTTGTTCAATTACTTGTTGTTTGTTTCGAATTTCTGCGCTAGCCATCCCTAATTTAGCAGTGTAAGACTAGAGGGAAGGCAGCTAGTCATCACCACCCACCGCCAACTCTTGGGATACTCTTTTACCAACGAATAGTGGGATTAACCGTCACATTATAACGCCCCCACGGCTGAAAGGGCGAGCATGTTTGGTGGGACGGGGACTCGAACCCGCGACCCTCAGATTGCGAGTCGAGCGCCCTAACCACTTGGCCATGCCGGGCCAGTTAGTTTCGCTCCTGAAGCAGCTGTAAAGCGAAACGCTGGGCTGGGTGTCTAATTAAATCAAAACAACATTTTAGTGTTATAAGGTCGTTTATTTCTTGTAATAATATATCAATAAAACTTTTTGCAGTTGTTAGCGGTTGGACAAGTGAGTGTATTGTTGTCGAAGTCAACACTGCCTGTATAAAAACCCCTAACCAAGTTTTCTGTTTGCGAAACCTGGTGTCCTGTTAATACATACTGTGTTATTAGATTTTTCCAGATTCCGTATATTGTCACACAAGGCCTTTCCGACAAGACAACCAATCTTATACACCATTCACAGTGTTAGTCATATGTATGTACTGTACTAAAATTCAATACTGATAATTCGTCACTAAGATCTTACAATAATTCTTCTTTACCGACTCTAAGGTGGAAGTTTTACAAATCACCATCTCACCTGTACTTTTCCC